ATTTCCTTTGTAAAATCCCTAAAACCTCCTAAATACATTTCAAATGTTTTTTCTCAGTAAAACTATATTTTATCTGTTATTTTCTCTACCCTATCTCTATATGGGATCAGTCAATTTGACCAACCTCCCAATACGAAACTACATTTGTTTATCCAAAGTAGTTTTAAACTCATAACAATATACATCTGTTTATAATTAAATTTTATTGTTTCATTACCTTTTTGATTGGCCTTTGAACCATGTCTAACTACTATCTGTGCCATTATAAATTGTAAATCGCTTGGGGAACGTGCAGTTCATGTTACTCTATTGAGCTACTATGAGCTGCTCATGTGCGTGTTATATTTGATTTTATAAATTTTATAAATGATCAAAATAAACAATATGCATAAACATACCTGAACTTTAGTAAATTTATAGTAAACTACCTATGGTCCTACCAGCAACATTAGGCATACTACTAGTGGGTTGCAGCATCAGGAGCAACTGTTTACAAATTAGCTAATTGGATAGCTGTTATAAAACAAGAATACTGTACAACTCTTTTTTTTAGTTGTGTGAAACAAATCATGTAAATATTAAATAACTAAGAAAATGTTAATAAATTATAATTACTTTGCAATCAATCCTAGCTCTAGGTTTGTTACTAGTGGTAACCTTCTCAATAATAATTTTCAATTCTCTAAAAAAGAGAGTTCCAAAAATACTGTTATGTCCATGCATTTTGAGAAGTGTTTCTAAGGTAAGTATTGGTGTAAAAGAATTTGTTAAATTTTTGGAGAGTATAATAATAATGGTTTTCATTTTAAAATTTAGCATTTGTTTGGCTCCTTGACACACAGAAAGGTGCCAAAAACAACATTACACATATTTAAATTCTTTGATTTAGTATAAGATAAAAAGAGAACAGTGTAAACTCTGTAATGCAGTTGTAGCATACACTGGAGGGACTTCTAAAATGATGAATCCTATAAAATCTTGTCAGAAAAGTAAAAATTTTTGTGATCAGTGCACCAGTCTTATACCCTATTTCTGTACATATCATGTCACTACTCTCCACCAATAGTATTGTGCCACCTATATTGGTACAGCTAGCTCCCTCTGCCATTCCTGCTCAATCTTTACTTTCAAGAATTGGTAGGCTCCAAAACAAGAATACCGGCAGTGGGAAGTAAGGATGGGAAGTGTGTGAAGGAGGTAACTACCTATCGGAAATACATTTTTAGTGTAAGAAAAATACTAACTTTTTATACAGTCTTACCCACACTCACACAAAGCTACAATCCCACATTGCAAAGGTGGAGGGGCCAGTGTAGGCACACAACATTGAAACCAAACAGAGAGTGAGCACCCAGAATGTTCTCCGAGATGAAAATAAAGCATAATTATGGGGTACCACACTACTTCTGGAACAGGTATGCTCTTTGCACTTGATGAGGGAAATGAATCTGATACAGGTGGAAAAAAAGATGTGCACAAGTGCAATATGTACTGAGAGGTGCAATTCATATTAAAATATAAACCAAAGTGGCGATTTACATACAAAACCTTAACTGGAAAGATGAGGTTCCATAACTTTTCCTCATCATTAGGAAGCTGAGGATCAGAAAAGATAAAAACAAATATATTGTAACATAAACACAGAGGTCAGGGCATGTAGATTGTGTTACATATACTCATCAACCCCAACCATAAGTAAACAGAGTATCCAAGCAACCAGAATTATGAAGAGGAAGTTAGCATTCAACTGAAACTGGACAAATTCCTAAAACAACTGTAGAAGCAAGAAGTACAACAAACTGAACACAACCTTACAGGGTAATATCTGTAATCAGTATTGCAAGCAGAAATCATAAATCACTCAACCATAAATGCAGGGAAGAGACATCCTGCATCTGGAATTATAAGGAGGACACAAAACATTTGCTCAACCATAAGAATGGTGTACGTACGTTCTGTAGCCGGTTGTTACAAGGCAGACAAAGACCCCCAAACCACACCATAGGATCAGGGAAAGAACTTCCTGCAACTGGAAGTAATGAGAGGAAGGGCCTCTCCTGCACACAGCCACAAGAAGAGGCCGGTGTCACCCCCAACCTTGTATTATGAGGAGGATCCTGCATAGGCTGGACCTGCTCCAATTGACAGCTGTTCACACCGGGGACAAAACATCCAGGGAAAATGGAAGGAAGGAATCCAGATTTGCCCTCTTCTCACTGAGTATATAATCATGAGTATGTATGGTAAATTAAATGTCTAAATTGACTCATGAAGAAGCCTCCATGGTCCATCACCCCAGCATCTGGAAACTGGGAAGTGATAAGAACTCCCATGCTTCAGTGAAAGAAAAAAAAGGGGGAGGAAACATGGCGAGGAGTCCAGAAAAATGCCACACTGGAGAAAGTGCAATGGGTGTCCACAATTCCCTATTTTGAAAAGCAGATCAAACCCAATTTATTCAATCAAAGGGTGGACAGGGATGGGCAGAAATCCCCTTCTGCTTTACTCATGAAGTCCACAAGTGAAACTTAGTGATATCTAGAAACATATATACGTACCACTGGGTATTCCACCAGTGGTCTTGTGGAACACCCTATCTTTACAGTAAGCATTAAGCACAACCAGTAAATAATGTGGGTTTGAGGCAAAGCATACCCGATCAGGCAACACCCACCACAGAGTGCGATCCCATTATAAAAACATGGGTTGGTGAAAATAAAAACATAAATGAAAAGAAGTGATAAGACTAACCCCAGTCAAAGGTAAATGAAAATATGTAGAATTGCCATGGGAGGGAAACAATATCTACCAGAGGAAGATACAGCCAGATCATGTAGATAATGAGTGATGGAGATATTGGGAGTAGTCTACATTCTGGTCTGAACAATCTTCTCCATGGGATGGCAAAGGCAAGCAACCAAAGTCATGGTGATATGACAAACATGATGAGAAGAAATGTTGTGGAGATGGTAACCTTCCATGGATAAGTCTGAATATGCCAGCCTAACGATTTGATGAACCCAACCAGTTAGCATGACAGGGGATAGATCATGGGAAACAGAAGGGTTCCAGGGAATAAAAAGTCAGTGAACCCTGAAAGGAGGCAGTATGTGCCACCTAAAACTGTAAGGAACAAACTGGACAAAGAAGCCAACCAGGATCAGAATGGAAGTACAGGTGGGAAATGAGTAGCAAGATAAGACCACAATGTGTTGACTGTGGGCCCAGAAAAGGAGATCCAGGGTCTGAAAACAAAGAGACCTGGATTTGGTACCCCCTTTCTTGGTGATATAAGTGACCACAGTGTAATCATCAGAGTGTACCATGACCATCCTCCCCCACAGAAGAGGAAGCTCGATGAACCACCATAAGTTTGAGAATATTGATATGGAGGGAAGACTCCCCGACCAACCAGAGACGAAATTTTTCCCAAAAGGCTAGGGAAGCACCTCAAGCCTCTAAATACAAGGTGGAGGAAGCACAACTCCCAACATGGTCTGGTACCTGTTGAGCCACCAAGCCAGGTCAAGGTGGTCAGAGGGACCTAAGAAGAAGTTCCACTGATCAAGCTGTGTCCACTGAAGTGAATGAATATGAGCTCAACCCATGGGAATGAGAGCTTCCAGGAAGCCCACATCTCCAAAAGAGATAGAATATCAACCTCTGTAACCAGGAAAGAATGTGAAGTGAGAGCCTTTGTGACCACTTGTTCCATATCCCTGAGAGGAGGAGAAAGCTGGGCCAAACTGAGTGGGGGTAAGAATAGACTTCTCCATCTTGATCAGACAAGCCACCCATGCTGTTTTTTGTAGGAGTAGACAAGTGTGTTCTGTTTGCTGTGAACGAGATGAAGTGAGCAGGAGCCAGTCATTCATGTAATGATGAGTGCGAAGTCCCTTCGAGTGAAGATGCCAGACAAAAGTGTATACCACCCGAAAAAACACATAAAGAGCCAGGGTTAGTCCAAATGGCAGGGCCCTGAATTGTAACACACAACCCTCGTGGACAAACTGAAGAAAACGACATGACTCAAGAGCAATAGGAATGTGAAGATAGCCATCCATTACATCGAACTTGGTCATCCAGCAATGCTTAGAGGGCAGAAAGAAGATTGAGATAGCTTTATGTGAGAAAAGGTAGAGCTGAACAAGGAAATATTTCCAGGAGTTGAAAAGCATTAGACTGGCATGATGTATTTTCACAAGTTTAGGTTTAACTGTTTTGGTTTGTTTTGAATTTTTTGCAATGTTACATGAGGGTTATCTGTGCTAACCATCCCTAATTTAGGAGTGAAAGGCTAGAGGGAAGGCATCTAGTCATCACCACTTACTGCCAACTCTTGGGGTACTCTTTTACCAACAAATGGTGGTATTGATCATTACATAATAATGCCCTCAGAGCTAAAAGGGCGAGCATACTTGGTAAAACAGAGAATCAAACCCATTACCTGCAGATTGCGAGTCAAGCTCCCAAACCACCTGGCCATGCTGGGCTAATTTTAACTGCAGAAAATATACCTGTATCAATTGTATTTAATTTACTGCATATGGAGTATATTTTAGTCTTACAACAACAATATAGCAGTCTAATATGCGAGTTTGGTTGCTGCAAATGCAAGTAACTGGTTACAAAATTTTGTACTTCTAGTACCCCAAGTTAATACATCATAATAATATGTTCAGTATTATAATGTAAGCCTAAAAATCCCTAACAGTACTTCCAGAAAACTGCAAGTTGAGACATATAGCAAAAAATGTGAAATCAGAACATATCAAATTAATGCAACAGTATAAAAGTTTGAGATCTAAATTTGTATTATTCATAGTAAATGTTTGATAATGTAAACCAATCAAGACAAAAAAAAAGTGTCAAAAATATTGTTCATTGTCATCACAGACAGATATACACTTACTGGACATGTGTAATAATGTTTAGGTAAGATTAACTAAAAATAAACATTAAGTTAGAATTATCAAAATATAAAACAAATGTAAATATTTTCTACAAAGCATATTATATTTACAAAAAATTAGTAAGATATACCTTGCTTGACAATATTTTCTACAAGTTCTTCTTTAATAGGCTTCTTTTCCTTATTACTTAGTTCTGTAATGCAACTGTCTCCATTTTCACTACACACTGATGAGGATTCATCTTTTACATACTGGAGCCCGCAAGCTTCAAGTGAGCTCAACAGAGTAGCTAGGTCATGTCGTGTTCTGACGAAGCAATAAATTTAAAAGTAGATATTTAAACTAAATACATACATAAAGACCATTCAAATCACGACGATAACACTGATAAGAAAACATGTTATTAGAACAAAAAATTATTTTAATCTGGGTAAATTTCTACAAAGAAAATATGCTATACTACTGTTTACTTAATTATAAAGTGAGTTAATAATTGATGTATCTCTACTCCAAACAAAAGTCCAAATTAAATTATTTTCACTAATATATGTAATTTACTTCCTTACACAACATACACTTAATAAGTTTGCCCAACAGTTTTGAAAATATCATGGCTAAATGGCTCATTATAACATTTTAAAATAATTTCTCTCCAAACATTTAAAATTAAAAAAACCCTTAAACTGTCGATGCTCAAAACAAAATTATAAAAAAAATCCATGAGAACACTCAGCTAAAATCAAATAGCTAAAAAGATTTTCATGTTTTCACTAAATTAATTTTATTAATTTTTGCTATATAAATGGAAAAAAAAAATTTAATGTTTATAACAATAAACAATGAACTATTACAGGGTGAGAAACAATACAAGACATATTAACCCAGTGATCAAATTTTCCAGAAATTTAAAACCTTTGAGTTACTTAAAATGTATCCATTTTGCAATAAAAATATGCTTCCAGAAGTAATAAATAACACAAAAGATGTAAAGGAACTTACTGAAGGAATATGATGGTGATATACTCCAAATAAACCTAATGTTTTACCTCCTTTTTTTATTGACTTTTATTACTTTATATTTTTAGATTGATGACGAGCAGCTGCTTGAAATGGTATCTGTGGGAAATAATGTTTTGCAATTTACAATATATTTAACTTTATTGCGTGTTGTGTTGCTTCAATGGTTTTACATATTTTGAATACAATATAACTAGCCTATTAAAGCAGCTATATGAAAATGATAGTTATCTATAATGTATTAGAAATAATAAAAAGGTTTGTTTGTAATTATGCACAAAGCTACACAATGGGCTATCTGTGCTCTGCCCACCACGGGTATCGAAACCCGGTTTCTAGCATTGTAAGTCCGCAGACATACCGCTGTGCCACTGGGGGGGGGGGCTAATAAAAAGATACGGACTTTTAACATGTTTATTACAAGTTTATTGTTTATGATCAAATGTTTTACTGAACAAGTTTGCCAATAAAACACTATATCTTCACAATGATATACACACAATTAGGGGAAATGTATATACAAATGCTAAACATCAATTCAGGGAATTGTTAATATAGGACATCTTAAAATAGTATTAGAGAGTACGTATTCTTTTCTGATCTTTAAACTGCATTTAGAAAATTGCATCCAAAGTTAACATAACATAATGTTTTGGGACAACATAGGATCTGCTGGTCCATCTTGGCTGTTCCATCCTCTAATCTAAATTAAATAATTTTAAAAAAATTTTAAAGCCAGCCCTTATCATTCACATACTTATCAAGCACTGTCTTAAACTCTCTTAAAGTTTACTGCCTCTAAAACATCTGAAGGCAACCCATTCCAACCCTGTTAGAAAAATGAAATTGTTTTAGCTGAAGATTACTCCTACCTTGCCAAAATTAATATTTGTGTCCCCTAGCCCTACTATTCTCACTGTTAAATATG